GGGTTTAGGGTTTAGGGTGTAGGGTGAATAGAAGGGAAGCTCGCTGGTGCCAAAAGCACCCGGGCCGCTCGCTTGCGTTAGCATGTAGTCCCACCCGAGAAAGAGCAGGGTGGGGCCTCCCGAGCTTTGTGGAGCCTGTCAGCGGCTCGTAGGCTTCTTGGAGCTTTCACGGAACTGGAGGGGTGCCCAAAACCGTCAAATGCAAGACAAAAAAACCCACATTTTCAGTGCAAACCCTGACTCACGCAGCCCAAAACGCTAGGGGGAAGCAGGGGCCTCGGCCGGCCCCCTTACAGGGGGGGTAGTCAGGGAGGGTTCAGGCCAGAAGTCCCAGCATCAGTTCCTGAAAGAGGGATTTGAGGCCAGCGCAAAAGTCCAAATTTCACCAAAAAAGCGCAGGTTGCCCCCTACAGCCCCAGAAGGCCCTGGAATCTGCCAGCTCAGGGCCCCAGATCCCCCGGGGGGTACCCCCCCGACCCCCTAAAAAAGCCAAAACGCCCTCGGCGCACTCACTTCTAAGGCTTTGAGGCGTAGCCAGGCACTGCAGGCCTCGTCTACCGGGAGGCTTTACCCTCCCTCACCGTTCTGTAGAGACGCTCGGTCGGGGACCTCGGTCGAAGCCTCGAGCGCCCATGTAAACGGACAGCGGCGCTCTCGGCAGTTTAGGGTTTAGGGTTTAGGGTTTAGGGTTTAGGGTTTAGGGTTTAGGGTTTAGGGTTTAGGGTTTAGGGTTTAGGGTTTAGGGTTTAGGGCTTATGGTAACCTTAAACCCCAAAACCATCAGCCCTAGGGTACCCAGAGCATTCGTGCTTGTGTTGCTGCAGTCTAGCTGGGGTTCAGTTCTGGGGTCATTCATGTTTTAAAACTTTAAGTAGCTGAGGGTTTAGGGTTTAGGGTTTAGGGTTTAGGGTTTAGGGTTTAAAGTTTAGGGTTTAGGGTTTAGGGTTTAGGGTTCTAGGGTTTAGGGTTTTGGGCTTACGGTTTGGGGTTCACGGTCTTGGTGTTTAGGGCTTTGGGGTTGAAAGCTCAGGGCTTAGACATAGAGACGGCTCAAGGTTGCAGGTCCAAAAGGTACAAGGTTCAGACAGTTTGGAACTTGGGGGCTTTAGGGGTTTGGGGGTTTAGGGTTTCGGGTTTAGGGTTTAGGGTTTAGGGTTCATGGCTTTGAGGGTTTAGGGTAGGGGGGTATAGGGTTTGGAGTTTACGGCTTGGGGTTCACTAGGTTTGTGCTTGGCTTAAGCAGGCTTAAGTTCAAGGGTTTCAGGTCCCGAAACCCCAAACCCGCAACCCTGAAATCCTCAACCTTACAGCTCTCTTCAGCCCTAAACCCTAAACCCTAAACCCTAAACCCTAAACCCTAAACCCTAAACCCTAAACCCTAAACCCAAACCCTAAATGCCAAGCCTTCAGCCCCAAACCCTAAACCTCACAGCCCCAAACCCAACACCCAAAATTCTAAACCCACCAAGCCCTACAGTCCCCCTTAAGTATTGAGAATATGCCTTTGAGGTGTATTATAACAAGATCCCCATATACCCAATATTCTATCTACTTCAAGGGGTGAGGGCTTGGGGCTGAGGGTTCGGGAGAAAACCCTACTGACCCGCTTGGAGGTTTCCCAAAATTAGGGGGTACCATTTTGGGGTCCCGATAATCAGAATTGTAGTATCTTGAGGTGTATTATAATATTGGGGTCCCCTTATTTTGGGAAACTACCACTTTGAAATTCCTACGACATGGCAACTCCTCGTTCTACATGACAGTTGGAAGCTAGACATTAATCTACTGTCAAGATGCTAAAGTCCTAAAGGCCTTTTGGGTTTGTGGGCTTAGGGAAACAGCGTAGCGCCTTCGCAGGAGCCTGTGGTGCCCCTGAACCCAAAGAACTCGCTCAAAGTGCACGTGTCCGGTGCCCAAGTTTGCTTGCTCGATGGGCCGGTGCAGTTAAGTGAGTTCTTGTAAAAAAGGTCAGTGACTCGGCCACCCTCACAAACGCTCATGGAGCTACCGCCGGACCACACAAGTGTACAGTAGCCGAGCGGCCAGTCGCTTCTTGCCACGAGCTCGTTTGTTGAGCAGTTGCCGGTGCCCAGGTATGCTGCTTCACGAAAGTACGCGAACGTCCGAATGTGTACCTTCTTGTACTCATGACTGCTCACCTGAACACACTGATTCCCTTCCTCGATCGTGCTTGCTCGCAGAGTGCTTCCCGTGCACGAGCTGTTCGCGTAGTACTGAGTGACCACCATGCTGCCCTCGAGGGCTGTTTTTTCCCACTCTGTTGGGAACAACGAATCATTAGGGGTGACACCCGCTATGCATCCTCCCAAGCGACGCGGCACGAGGGCCTCTGATCCTGGGCCGCTGCAGGTATTGTCGGTGTAGGACATCGTGATGACAAACTGCCCGAGGGGCTCAGCCTGCGCGGACAGCACCGCCACAGCCGACAGCACCTTGACCCCAGCCGTAGAGAAGACCATGTTACCCGCAGAACTTGCCGGGAAGGAAACCGAGACTCTGACCACCGAGCGAGGTGACTTTGGGCCGCAAGGGCGCATTCATCTCAGAGTGGAACATAACCTCAAGCCTCTCACATACCTAAACCCAAGAACCCTAAACCCTAAATCCTAGATCTAATCCTTCTTTCACCTGGTTTCCTTGATGCCAGGCACAGGACTGCTAAATCTAATCCTAACACACTAAACCTCAAAACCCAAGCCCAAGGTCCAAAGCCTTGATCCTTCAACTTTAAACTCTAAGCCCCAAGACCTAAACCTCCATTCCTAAACACAGACTCGAAAGCCCATGACGGCTTAATTACCAACAAGGGGTACGTATAGGTCCAGGGTTTCGGATTTAGGGTTTGGGCATCTCACCCAAATAGGTGAGAATCAGATGAACAAAACATGGAAGATTGTTTACGTAGGTATTTTTCAGGGATGTAGGGCTTGGGAACTTCACCCAAACAGGGGAAACTCAGATGGAAAAAAGGTGGAACATGGCTTACGTAGGTACTTGTCAGGACTACTGGAGTGAGGAACGTCAAACATCGTCATGTCAATGTGAGGTCTCTTGGGGCATGCTACGGAGTAACCATACATCCCTAAACCCTAAACCCTAAACCCTAAACCCTAAACCCTAAACCCTAAACCCTAAACCCTAAACCCTAAACCCATGAAGCTGGGACCATAACATTGGTGCAGTAGGGTCGGAAGCCTGCGTCTGGCGCCTTAAGTGTTGCACCCTGAGCCCTAAACCCTAAACCCCATCTAATCCCCTATATAAGCCCCCCCCTTTAAGGAGTTTAGACTTTGCAAGGACTTTGCTTGGCGGCCATCCGCGTGAAGAATTTCGGGCAGAGCCTGTTCAGGTTTCAGGGTTCAAGGCTTGCAGTCCCCCTGAAGAGTTTAGGGTTTAGAGTTTAGGGTTTAGGGTTTAGGGTTTAGGGTTTAGGGTTTAGGGTTTAGGGTTTAGGGTTTAGGGTTTAGGGTTTAGGGTTTAGGGTTTAGGGTTTAGGGTTTAGGGTTTAGGGTTTAGGGTTTAGGGTTTACTTACTATAATATACCCATAGCCACGTTCTATCTACTTCAGGGGAAGTAGAATTATCTAAGTAAGCATACTTTGTTGACCCCAACAGGGCAATCGGCCACGCCCGCCCTCAGTGCAAATTAAGCGCTTCTGGTCATCCTTTCTCAAAGGAGATACAAGACTGGTCACAGAAGCAACTGCCCATCTAGTGTAATTTCAGAACCTCATGAAGCCAATTTGGGACCACATGCTGTATACCCATTGTCAGGTCGGGTTGTTTAGGGTTTAGGGTTTAGGGATTAGGGTTTAGGGTTTAGGGTCCGGGTTTTGGGTTTAGGGTTTTGGGTTTAGGGTTTAGGGTCCGGGTTTTGGGTTTAGGGTTTAGGGTTTAGGGTTTCGGGTTTAGGGTTTAGGGTTTAGGGTGTGATCCTTGTATCTTGCCCAAAGCAACCAGATCGGCCAGGGAGCCGTGTGGATGAAGGTGTCGGTTTTCTGCTTTCTCCTTCGGGTTTAGGGTTTAGGGTTTAGGGTTTAGGGTTTAGGGTTTAGGGTTTAGGGTTTAGGGTTTAGGGTTTAGGGTTTAGGGTTTAGGGTTTTGGGTTTTGGGTTTTGGGTTTAGGGTTTAGGGATTGGGGTCTAGGGTTTGGGGTTTAGGGTTCAGGGTTTAGGGTTAGGGCTTTAGGGTTTAGGGTTTAGGGTTTAGGGTTTAGGGTTTAGGGTTTTGGGTTTTAGGGTTTCGGGTTTCGGGTTTAGGGTTTAGGGTTTCGGGTTTAGGGTTTAGGGTTTAGGGCTTAGGGTTTAGGGTTTAGGGCTTAGGGTTTGAGCAGGAATATTCTTTTTGAACGATCCAGCCGCTGAGTTCCAAGCATCCCGTTCAGGTGGACCGGGGCGGTCACGGGATGCCACCGGGAAGACGTTGTTGCTTATCCCATTCTTGGGTTTAGGGTTTAGGGTTTAGGGTTTAGGGTTTAGGGTTTAGGGTTTAGGGTTTAGGGTTTAGGGTTTAGGGTTTAGGGTTTAGGGTTTCGGGTTCACGCTGGCTGGCCCCACTACTCGTGTCCTTTTTCTGAAAGCACCCTGGCTTCCGAAGGAGTCAGAACCAACATCTCCAAAGCCATCAGAATCCTCAATAACTCCTTTAAGCAACCATAACATACAGGAAGACCAACATCCCCGAAGCCCTCAGTACCTCCTATGGTAACCCCTATGCGACCCCGGAAAGCAACACTTACCAACATCCCTGGCCTCCCAGTGAAGCTTCCGCCTCTCCTTGGGCACCGTCGCAGCACCCGCCTCCCAAAAATCAGGGGCTGTCAGGGAAGGTTGAAGTGAAAATTGCTCAACCCGAAATCCCGCAACCTAGGTTGCTCTGTCGGTTGTAGCTCCAAGCACTGCAACTCACTTTGGGCCCGCGCACATCTGCGTATCTCTCCCGTGTCATCTCCTCGCCGCTCTCCCACGGCCTGAGTTTTTCAAATTTCCAAGTCCCAGAAGCCCCCCTCTGCGTCAAAGACCCGCAGGTGCTGCGAAGAGGGGGACTCCAGCATGTGGGACTCCGTGATGCAGAAAGAATCCGAGAAGCCGTCAATGCGGAAGTTGCCGATGGCAACTTTGTCGCCCGGAAGATCTTCGTAGCAGACTTTCCTGGGGTACTATTCACAATGCTCGTTTTTGTTCCTTCTTGGGTTGAAGTATTCATAAAATTGTAGAAATGATTTTCAACAATAACCCAGTTTCCAAGGCGGCCCGATCCCTGGAGATGGGAGTAAGCGCCGAACAAAGCAAGGATCATAGACCGACAGGTCATCAATCTCGGTCTGATAACGGGTGTGAAAGACACCGGTGCTGTTGTCAAACAGTAGGTACACTTCCCGCGTCTGCTTGTGAAGCAGCACACTCCGAACATGCAGCTTCAGGTGCTCGCGTGGCTCTGCCGCCCGCAGGTCCTTCCAGAGGCAGCAGGTATGAGGCTCCAAGGTGTCCATTGCAAGGGCAAGCAGAGCAACAGAGGTGTTCACCCACAGCGCATCACCCGTATCGTCCAGACAAAGGAAGCGAGGCCGCTGTGTTCTGTCCTGAGACCAGCCCTCGCAAGCGGGCAGCACGAGAGGAGCCCGCCGTAGCTCGGTAAGCTGGCCATCATCAAGTCTCAGCTCCAGTATGTACTTACCTGGGTGGCAATGTTTGGGACCTCAAAAATTATTACCATGAAGAGATACCCCTTTACGGCCAAAACAGAGGGTAATGAACATGCAACGAGCCAGTCTTCCAAAGTGCCACCGAGTTTCTCTGGCCGTCGCCCTTGGCGGCAAGAGCGAACAAGCAGCCCTTGGCGAAGATGCAGTTGAAGATGCACATGTCTCCAGCATCGAACAGAAGCTCAAGTGCTCCTGGATCCGTGTGCTGCGAGTTGTGTGCAGCACGATGTACCCGGTACTCCTCCATACCTCCCGCGCCACTCACCGCTGTTAGGAGGTAAACGCTCTCATCCTCTGCGAGCGCTAGAGGTCTCACGACCCTGAAGCCCTCACGCCCTTGGTCAGGATAGCGACAGACACTGCGGGCCATATTCCGGATGCCCTCCCCGGACTGGATCTTCTCTGCAACCATATCCACCACCACAACTTCTTCGAAGTACGGCTCATGCTGACCTCCCCCACCTCGCCCTTCCCTGATCGCCTGCATGTGTGCATGGAAGTCCGGCCCATGAAAGTGGCGGCAGAAGGCCACACTGAAACGCTGGGGATCCTTGCAGGCCAGTCGGACCATGTAGCTGTCATGACAGTGGTACCCCTCGGAATGGACGTCGACGTCCCCAAGCATCTTGAACTCCTGGAGTTTAGGGTTTAGGGTTTAGGGTTTAGGGTTTAGGGTTTAGGGTTTAGGGTTTAGGGTTTAGGGTTTAGGGTTTAGGGTTTAGGGTTTTGGGCTTGGGGTTTAGGGCTTAGGGCTTAGGGCTTAGGATCTTGAACTCCTTGGGCTTCGGGAGCCGCACGAGGTCGACGGAGACCTCAGCCTCCGAACCCCGCAGAATGCCCAGGTCGGCCAGGGTTTGGCGCTCGCAGGGGCGGCCCTTGTAGAGGAGCTGGCAGGGGTGCAGGTGCTGCAGGCCATACCTGAGTTGTGCTTAAGCCCTTTGAAAGCTATTTGTGAATAGGGTTCCATGAGAAGGAGAGGGGAAGAAGGGGAATTACAAAAATTATCCCAAAGCGCAGCCCAGATACTCGACCTCCTCGGCAAGAGGCGTGTCGCGGTCAAGATAACGCTCGGCGAGCACCTCGCAGAGGGATGCATACTTCCATTCTCACGACAAAAAAATTCCCCTCAAGCCTAAACCCTCTTCCCTAAACCCCACACCCTCAACCCAGCTAGCACATGACCCCAAACGGCCAAAGAGCGCCCAGCAGTCGAAGCCCTCTACATGCCCAAGAAGATGCGCACCACACGGTTCTAGACGAGGGTTTCGGGGACCCCTCTTAGGTAGCAAAAGGGGCATCGTAGGAGTATCCTAAGGGGGTTTTGGTGACGCTTGTTAAAGATCCTTAAGGTAGAATAATGGCTACTAGGAGTATACGAAAGGGGCTTTGGGGACCCTTCTTACAAATCCTTGAGGTAGTATACGGGCCATATTAGGAGTATACAAAAGGGAAACTTATGGTGAGAGCACGTGGGAGCAACATGGGCAGCCAGTTTCGGCTAAACCCGAGACCCCCAACGGCATGCACGTGCTGACGCCAGGGAAGCCTCGCCATTCACCGGGCTGCGAAAGCAGACGCGATGAAAGACAAGCTCTTCTTCTTGGCCAGCTTCCATGCCGAACTCTTCTTGGCCAGCTTCCATGGCTGTCTGCTCGTCCATGAAGGGCCAGAAGGCTTCAGGTGTTTGAGGACCTGTTTTAGGTTGAGGGTGTGATATATGTAGGAGCCTTGACAAGTGTCCCTAATTCCTGATGATTCAAGCCCCCTAAACCTCAACCCAAGATGCGCTCACTCACCAAGGCCTTGTTGACATGTCAGGACCTTGAGCTGTCGGCCCACACAGACACACGCCCTGCAAGCCTGGAGAGTCACGTCTCCGACTCCCCAAACCCGTAAGCCCTAAACCCTAAACCCTAAACCCTCTGAACTACTGCACGAGTACAACTTGCAGAGGGGTACGGTGCCAGAGCACCATACACTGCAATCACACAAAAGCCTCAAGCCCTGAGGCCCTGAACCTATAGAAAACCCTCAATCCATGACTCCTGAAAAGAGAGCCTCTGAAACCCTAAACCCTAGCCCTGAACCCTAAACCCTAAACACCAACAAACCCAACGGGACGCCCAACAAACCCTAAAACCCACAAACAAAACCTTGGCCTCCCCCCAAAGCCGTCCGTCACAAGGCCTTGCCCACAGAGCTGCACGCAAGGGCCGGGCAGTCCTCCCAAGCCCAGAAGGCCTCGACGTGTTCAGGGTTTAGGGTTTAGGGTTTAGGATTCAAGGTTTAGGGTTTAGGGTTTAGGGTTTAGGGTTTAGAGTTTAGGGTTTAAGGTTTGGGGCTTAGGGCTTAGGGCTGGTTCTACATGGGGGGCTTAAGGATTTTGGGTTTTCGGGCCTTGGAGCGTCTTGGATTTGATTCGGGCGTTTAATGAGCATGGGTCTACATCAGAACTGATGTCATTGTTAGAATGATTCATGCGGTTGATATTTGGATCGACAAATTCTAGTCTAATCGTTGCGAATATGACTGTTTCATATCATGTCTATACATGTGCAGTTTTATTTGGTCGGTACCACTACGCTTCACTATCCAGAACACTTCACAGGCTTGATCAAGATAGTAACGAGCAATCGTTCTTTCACAGAATAGCGTCTTCCCTTCCACTTCTCACCCTTTGGCTTCGTCAACTTTACTTCTACACGAAACCCGTAAACCCTAAACCATAAACCCTAAACCCTAAACCCTGAATCCTCAAAACTTTAACTCTATATGGGCACCCGAACAAAGTAGTAGTAGTAGTAGTAGTAGTAGTAGTAGTAGTAGTAGTAGTAGTAGTAGTAGTAGTAGTAGTAGTAGTAGTAGTAGTAGTAGGTAGTAGGTAGTAGGTAGTAGGTAGGAGGTAGTAGGTAGTAGGTAGTAGGTAGTAGGTAGTAGGTAGTAGGTAGTAGGTAGTAGGTAGTAGGTAGTAGGTAGTAGGTAGTAGGTAGTAGGTAGTAGGTAGTAGTAGTAGTAGTAGTAGTAGTAGTAGTAGTAGTAGTAGTAGTAGTAGTAGTAGTAGTAGTAGGAGTAGTAGTAGTAGTAGTAGTAGTAGTATAGTAGGTGGTCGTACGTACGTCGTACGTACGTCGGTAAGCCGAGGCAAAGCGCAAGATTCAAAGGCACGCTGGAACACATGGCTTTCAGTACTGCTGAGGGTCTAAAGAGGATTTCGATTCAAGCCATCTCATAACACGGCCCAAATTCTGCAAGCCTGTGTAAAACCCATCTCAGTAGCATGCTGCAAAACACTCTTCGTCTGTCATAACAGCAAAATCAGAGCAGGTCGGAAGCACTTTTCCTAGTGAAGCGATGTGATGCTATGTTCGGGATGAGATTGAAGTGGCCCCCTTGGTTGGAGGGGCGGCCCAACTTCCGTCAGGCCCAAATTTTCTGGACCCATGCCTAATTCACTCCGCCGTGGCGCGGGGTGCAATGTCTTATAGACAAAGGAAACTAAAGCTTCAATCTAATGGGCTGCTTCCTCACTATCGGTGCCCAACTAGCTGGCATCAGCCACTTGTGCATCCTCTTGTGCATCCTCGCATCCTCGATCCATCCCGATTCCGTCAGCATCAGCTGCAAAGCCGAAGTCGTAGGCGCCGGGCGACAAACGCGAGGCTGGCGACATGACTGACGGGGAACGGGAGGGCGTCTTGTCCCTCAAAGTGCACATGAACTCCACTTCCCCACTCCACAGGAAATCATGCAGCATGTGGCACCGGCAAATTGTTTCTCTCACTACGCCGTAAGTCCATGGTGAGATGAAAGTGACCAGGATCCAGGCAAGCCAACGAGGACGATAGTGTGTCTCAAGAACGGCCGCAGCTTTCTGGACCGCCATTGGCACAGCAAAGAGCATCACAACGATGATTGGGATGGTGACGGTGGTGCCCATGATGGTGACAACCATTAGTGGGTTGAAAGCGCACGCCCGTGATTTCAATGTGTAGGTGAGCGTCCAATAGAACACGAGATATGCCCAACCCTGAAACGGTTTGTCAATCCAGTCCAAGTAGAGGACGACAATTTTGAAGAATGCGGAGATGTGTGTGGAGCGGGCCATCCATGTCATACATCGTATTTTTTGGACTTGTCCGCTGTACCAGCGAGAACGCTGATTTACCATGCTTTGATAGTCTGGTGGCTCGCGCTCCTGACAAAGGATGTTGTCGTCAATACCACCCTTTATGCCATAGTAGGCCCAAGCACCTTAGGACTGGAGATCTCTGGAGATGACAACTATCTGCCGCACGTGTGCTCTCTTTATGTTAACTTGCATATGATTTGCGAGTATCGGTAAGACCGGATGCAGTTGACAACCACTCCTCTTTCCCCAAACAGTGTGTCAACACTCTGCTCTCCTGAGGGTCATGGTGCTTTTGCGGGCATGGTGTAGGGGTTTTTAGGGTTTAGGGTTTAGGGTTTTAGGGCTAAGGTTTCAGGGTTCAGGGTTTAGGGTTTAGGGCTGTTCTGCGATTGCGATCGGCTGTTCGCGGCTGCAAATGGAGGGCGCTCCCAAAAAACACAAAAAGTCGAAAATTCGAAAAGTCGACGTGGACAAGAGCTTCACGCGAAAAGTCGAAAATCCACGAAAAGTCGAAAGTTCGGAAAGTCCTAACAAGTCCTGAAAAGTCTGAAAAGTCCCGAAATGTCGAAATGTCGAAAAGTCGAAAAGCCGAAAGGTCGAAAAGGTGCAAAAGTCGGCAAAGCCCAGACAAGTTGAGAAGTTGCGAGCAGTTCCCAAAAGTCGAAACGCGAACTGTCGGGAGTCCAGCATTCGTTTTTTTTGTGGGGGGGAGACTGGATGCCATAGCAAAGAGCATGCTGCGCTTGTGGTTTGAATGCTCAGGAGATCGAGCAGCTAGTACAGGAGTCTAATTGACCGTCCTGGGTTTCTTGGTGTGATTTATTGTGCATTTAAGCAACGTTCGCAAGAGATAATATTTGCCATTGTGCTTGGCTCCTTTGTTCCCGAACGCGTAGCAGAAGCGTTCCCGTTTCAAGAGGTCGGGCGGTCTGGGGGTGGAATCGGTTTCAGGGAAATTTGGCGGGCATTCACAAGCGCTCGAAAGCGCTCACGTGTTTTAAAAATCGTTCATTTGGGGACAAGCCTCGATGTTCTTCACCTTTTTGGTGATGCTCTGCGTCAAAGTGTTGTAAGAAAAACCTTCGTTTTGGCAGCTTTTGGGTTATGTGATGTTGCAAAAAGCGTTGAAAACCCTAAGCGTTGGCACCCTTTTGGTTATGTTATGTCTCAAAAGTGTTGAACAGTGTTGAGAAACCCTGTGTTTTGGCACCTTTTTGGGTATGTGATGTCTCGACAGTGTTGGTAAACCCTGTGTGTTTTGCACCTTTTTGGTTATGTGATTGTTTGCTTAGTGGTGCGTCTTCGCTCCAGATGCACTTGTTTTGCTTACTGGCGCGTCTTCGCTTACTATGTCCGGTTGTTTGCTTCTTGGTGCGTCTTTGGTTACTATATGATCTATATGCAGTTGTTCCCCACCGGACAAGTGGGGCTGCTAGACTTTAAGGACAAAGCGGCGGCGCACAGCATGTGACGCGACTCTCAGGACAGCAGCCAGTACAGCATTGAGGACATGGCCAGACGCAATAAGCAGGCCAAGGAGGCTCAGACGGGCAACTGTACCGGATGCAATATATAAGCAGGCCAAGGAGGATCAGGTGTGCAACTGTACCGGACGCAATTTCCGGAATGTGGCCACATGCAATAAGCATGCCAAGGGGGCTCAGGCGGGCAGGCGGGCAACTGTACCGGATGCAATAAGCAGGCCAAGGAGGTTCAGGCGGGCAATTGTACCGGAATGTGGCCGGGCAACTGTACCGGAATGTGGCCAGGAATGTGGCCAGGAATGTGGCCACATGCAATAAGCAGGCCAAGGAGGCTCAGGCGGGCAACTGTACCGGAATGTGGCCAGACGCAATAAGCAGGCCAAGGAGGCTCAGGCGGGCAACTGCACCGGACACAATAAGCAGGCCAGGGAGGTTCAGGCGGGCAACTGTACCGGAACGTGGCCAGACGCAATAAGCAGGCCAGGGAGGCTCAGGCGGGCAACTGTAACCCTAAACCCGAAGCCGTCATGTGGAACAAGAAGTTGAAGGGGCTAGCCCCCTTGCAGGGGTCCTTCACAAAGAGTTATCCGGGTGATGCCCCAAAAAGCAACCCCCCGTAGAGTTAGGATTGTTTTGCCGCCCGCATAGCTGACTGCAGGTCGCGCAGCAAGGTGGCAGAGGTTTCATAGGTTAGGTCTTCAGGGTTTAGGGTTTAGAGTCTAGGGTCACAAACCCCAGCTTCCGAAAGGGACGTAGGTTGGCGGTTTCAGGCTTTTAGAGAGGGGCTTGGATTCAAGGGTCAGGGTGGGGATGCTCGAAGGTGATATTTTGCTTATTGGTGCATCTTCGCTTACTATGTACGGTTGCTTTGCTTAGCGGTGCGTCTTCGCACTATATGCGCTTGTTTTGCTTACTGGTGTGTCTTCGCTTACAATGTGCCTTTTTAGTTATGTGATGTTATGCTTAGCGGTGCTATATGCAGTTGATTTTTGGTGCGTCTTCGCTTACTATGTGCGGTTGTTTTGCTTAGTCGCTCTATACGCGCTTGTTTTCCTTACTGGTGTGTCTTCGCTTACTCTGCGTTGTTCTATGTGATGCTTTGCTTAGTGGTGCGTCTTCGCTCAGATGCGCTTGTTTTGCTCATTGGCGCGTCTTCTCTTACTAGGTGCGATTGTTCTGCTTAGTTGTGCGTCTTCGCTCTAAAAGCACTTGTTTTGCTTACTGTTGTGTCTTCGCTTACTATGTGCGGTTGTTTTGCTTACTGGTGGGTGATGGTGGGTATTGATGGGCAATGGTGGAACGGTGGGTAGTGGTGGGTGCTGCTGGGTAACACGTATCTGCATTCGGGTTCCTGGCTCTTATCAGGTTTGAATCCTCAATCCGAAACCAAAGGTGCTAGGAAGTCAGCGTGTTGAAGTTTTGGAGCTGGGGTTATGAGCGGGAGCTTAGGGTGAATGGCTTGGTCTCAAGCTGGGTTGAGTGCCTAAAGAGAGAAAGGGGGTCAGACGGATTTAGGGCGGTCTACAGCTTCGGGTATAAGCATGCCTACAAGGCCTTGAAATCCAGAGCTCTAGATTACAATAGGATTGGTTTAGGATGTGTGTGTGTGTTGGTTTGTTTTTTGTATTTGTTCTAGGCAGGTGATTTTTGGTGCGTCTTCGCTTACTATGTGCGGTTGTTTTGCTTAGTGGTGCGTCTTCGCTCTATACGCGCTTGTTTTCCTTACTGGTGTGTCTTCGCTTGCTCTGCGTTGTTCTATGTGATGCTTTGCTTAGTGGTGCGTCTTCGCTCAGATGCGCTTGTTTTGCTCATTGGCGCGTCTTCTCTTACTAGGTGCGATTGTTCTGCTTAGTTGTGCGTCTTCGCTCTAAAAGCACTTGTTTTGCTTACTGTTGTGTCTTCGCTTAGTATGCGCGGTTGTTTTGCTTACTGGTGGGTGATGGTGGGTATTGATGGGCAATGGTGGAACGGTGGGTAGTGGTGGGTGCTGCTGGGTAACACGTATCTGCATTCGGGTTCCTGGCTCTTATCAGGTTTGAATCCTCAATCCGAAACCAAAGGTGCTAGGACGTCAGCGTGTTGAAGTTTTGGAGCTGGGGTTATGAGCGGGAGCTTAGGGTGAATGGCTTGGTCTCAAGCTGGGTTGAGTGCCTAAAGAGAGAAAGGGGGTCAGACGGATTTAGGGCGGTCTACAGCTTCGGGTATAAGCATGCCTACAAGGCCTTGAAATCCAGAGCTCTAGATTACAGTAGGATTGGTTTAGGATGTGTGTGTGTGTGTTGGTTTGTTTTTTGTATTGTTCTAGGCGGTGTTGGGGGGTAGTCCGAAAAACCCAAAAGTCCCGAAAAGTCGAAGAGCCGAATCGTTTGTACACACCACCGCACACCTGTATGCACACCCACACACGCACCTGCATGCTAGGTGTATTCCAGAACAGGAACATGTTTCCACTTGGCTTCATGCCGTCTGCAAATAAATACCCCTCCAATGCAGGACTCTTGAATCTAGGTTATTCCGCACACAAACACAAACCAACCTAGGAACTCATTCTACTGGACAAATCATACAGCAAGCCCAGGCACGGAACATGGCATCATGATCTTCCCCAACGGTGCGATGATCGAATCCGACCTTTTTGATGGCATCTGTTCGCCAGAATGACCCTCGGCCGTTGCAGAAGGGCATCTGCATTGCCCCGTAGATGACTTCATTGAGTTCACGACGGACGGCATCATTGCAGGTGGTGATGGCCCCAAGGAGGAAGAAGCCATTGTCTGTGATGCCGGCAAAGTCTTCCCAACAATGCACCTGGGACCGCCACTTAGCACGGTTTAGGACATCTCCTCCTTTTAAGGGTTGATAGGTTTTTAGGGGCCCCTGCAACAAACACAAACATGCAGGCGATTCCAACTTGCAACATAGCCACCAGGCGCGCTTGCACAGTGTCTTGGTCCTCTTCGAACAATCGCAGTGACGCCCGACACATGCTTTCGGCAGATACCATGGTATCTGCATCATTGAAGAGGGCAAAATCGGTTCCGAGCAAGTCTACAGCCATGTTCAAGTTGTCGCATTTTGACGTTGACAAGGTGTTGCGGTGTGCCTCAAAGGAAGGCCACTCTTTCTCGAGTTCTTTCAGCTTCTGCTCCATGAAAGTATGCTCCTGAGGCGAGTTCCATACAAGGATTACCCTCATAGTACCTGGATACTTGGTGGCTTCTTGTCGGTAGACTTCCAAGCAATCCAACAAAATATCCTCCTCATTGGGCATGTATGCGGGAACCACGACCGTGATGGAACGGCATTTATGGTTCTGAAGTCGCTGTTGGAGATCGGAATTCTGGTTGTGGTCGTTCGCCAAGGCGGACACTTCACAAGGACCCGTCCTGTAAGCTCTCAAGAGTGGCTCTTGTTCGCAATACGTCTTCATCTGGATGACAGCAGCAAGAACATGTGCCAGCGTAGGAGTGAATTGCAGTGCGCATTGAAGAAGAATTGCAAACGCTGCAAGCATATTGAAAGTGTCATCACTGACCTGCGCAATGTAACGTGTATCTTATGGAAACCCCATGTGCAGGACTGGTCAAACAACACCAGCAAAAATGGCCTCCCCTAACCCCACCCTGGGGCCCTGGACCGATTTTAGACTTCTGGCCTGCGCCGTGTCGTTCTCGGGCCCATAAGTGAAAAAATACACGAACAAGACATACTTCATCGCATCGGCGGTGAAGAAAACTCCCGTGATGAGCCTGCGGATGTAGTTGGACTGCACCCACTGAGCATAAGGGCCCAGCCAGCCATAAGCTGGTCGATCGATGTCCATCTTCTTGGGCTCAAAAGGTGGCAAGCGCACATCATACTCGACCGAAAGCTCTGCCTTGATTCCAGCCGATGAGACCTCACGGCGCAAGCAGAAGCAAGGGAACGGAGTTCCCAAACAGCTTTGGGGGCCTACGAGGGCCTACGACCTATTAAAGCAAGGTGTGTTAAGTCTCCGATCAAGGGCTTCTGACAGCTGGAGGGGCGTGTCGGTGTGTTTCTGTTCCTGGCGCCCGTAAGATCTGGTCGCCCAACCCTTCCCCAAGCCCAAAAATTTTGGCCTGCCCAAATTCTTTGGATGAGCTTCAAACCGAGGCCGGGGGGGAACCAGCCTGGGGGCTGCTCCTATAGGGGGCGCCAAAAAAGGTGCAAACCGGTGCTTGGGGCCTTGCTTGGAAACATTCCCGGGAAGCCCACCCTGAAAACCCCCTAACCCCTTTGAAGCACCCGCCCGGGAGCCCTGGGACCTCCCCCCCGAGGACACCACTGGAACCCCTTGGAGTCTGCGGCACTGCCCGACGCACAAAACCTCACTGCCACACATTCTTCTGCTTTTCTTCCGCGCCTGGCCTTGCTTCCTGTGCTGCACTTGCAACTTGCAACCTTCAGCAAAAACCTGCACGTCACGTGGTGCGGCAATGTGTCAAAAGCAGCCTCTCCGGGCCATGGCACGCCGACACCGTGCCGACCCTGGCCCCTGACCTTGTCTGCAACAAGCCACGACTTTGCGTTTCCTGCGACTGCTCGGCGAACTGCTCCGCACGTTTGGCCCAAATGCCGAGGCGACGCAAGCGTTGCATTTAAACGTCAACCATCTCGGGGGCGCCGCGAGAACCCAACACTTCTTTCACATCAACAATCTGCAAAGTCTTTGCACGCTGAGACAGGTGCAACACAACAGCAGTCTTTCAATAACTCACGTGTGAATTTCATGTGCGGTGACATCTTTCCGCGTGCACCATGCAAGCACGCACTCAAAAACACAACGTTGGTACACATGGGAAGTACCACAGTCATCGCTTAATGAGTAAAACATGCGTGTGCCAGAAACAGCATAGCGATGGTTAGCTGGCAAATTAGATTGTCGGCACACGCTGACATCTTTGTGCGCGCAGCAGTCGAGCACGCATTCAGAGATGCAGGTACCCATGGGAGCACAGCTGTCTCGCATCGCCAGCGTTTTGGAACCATGTCAATTCAATTTGATCTTTGTATGCCCTGTCGCCTACGCATGCATACATGTGTATGTGAAGACATACATGTGTCTTGTGTAACATTCAGTAGCCTGTGCAAAACGCGAAGTTGTGAGACGTGCAGCCGTTGAGCACCCTAGTTTTTCGCTCTTCAGCACCCATGAAGAGCACTTTCAGGAACCATGAGAAAGAGCTACGCTGGATGGCACCGGGGATGCAGGAGCACAGTTTCAGTTTGATCTGGCGTACACCCACCCACCCGCCCCACGGTTTCTCCCCCCTCCCCGGTGATGTCCTGGAGTGGGTTGGGGCTTACGGCTTTACGGTTTAGGGTGTGGCGTTGGTCGGCTTACCGCAGCAGTGTGCAGACGTGCCCCAAGATCACCCATCCACAACTCACAGTGAGCCAACTCAAACCAGCCCAACCCAGGCCACCTATCACAAGATGGCTTGTCTGACGGCAAGAATCCCAGGAGCATGTGCAAGTAACAAACTCTCTGAAATCAAAGTTAAGGCTTCCGCTTCCAGTATCTCAAAACTTCGTATTGAATGAGCAAAGTGCTCCCCCCTTCGGGAATTCCTGGGACCCCCTACCCCCCTCATCTAGATAATGGACCACTGCCATTCTTCAAGGGCCGGCCCGGCTGCCGAGGCGGCGAGCGTAAGCGTTTACAATTATGCCAGTGTAGACCCCAAACAGTGAGACCATGGGAAACAAGACCGAGCTCACCGATCCAGAACACACCGTGACCACTCGCTCCAGTAACATCCCATTGGTTCACACGAAAAACACCTAGGGTGTCGCAGCCGGGCATCTTCAGACTGTGACTAAGATGCATCCGGTCTGGACCCATCCAACAGCGTCGAATTGCGCATGTCAATTGGCATGCGGCCTTGGAGGGCACGATTTTCCTGCAAAAAGTACGTGCGAGCCACGTGGTCCGTTCGCGCCAGGTCGCTCTGCACTTGGACTCCGATCTTAAATCTTAAACCTCCGTAACATGTGCGCACCTCAGAGTTGACGTGCTGTCAGCTCGCGATGCGTGGGCAAGGTTGGGGCGTTGCTGCACGCTCAGGCTGACTCTGGCCTGGACCCTACAGCCGTGAACCCTAATTTCCCTGGACGGCACAACTTGCAGTCATTCCCTAAACCCTGAACTCTACAACCCCAAACTGTAGCCTCGGCCGAGGTGGGTCGCTTAGCGTCAAAGTTACAGCTCGGGCTCGCACCGCCAAAAGCAAGAGCAGGCTTGCAACATAGGTACCAAAGTTGGCATAGATGGTGCGTCGGACGAGGAAGAAGCGAATAGTCTGCAAAACTTGCCAGACCGTGATGATATGCCTCTGATCATCCCAGCTAGCGAAGAATAAGAAGACAATGGAGCTAGCCAGTGTTTCCAGCATCAAGAACGAGATGATTTGCTGGGCCTGCAACTTTTCACTTGCAAAGAGCAGAACAAGCACCAAGTTCAAGAGCAGGTCCAAGACGCAGATGCAAGTTACTGTCCATGGCGCTGAGCTTCTCTGACTTGGTGGCCAGAGTGCCGGAGAATTCGTATCCGCACCCGCCACAATCCGCTCCTACCAGGAAAGGTCCACCATGCAACGTGCCGCTAACCCATATGTACTTGAACACTCAGGCCATTATTGCAAAGAAAGCCGCACCCTAAGATTGGCAGTTGCCGGGCGAAACAATCAAACATGGCTCGGAAAACAAAACGCCGAATCAGACAACAGCAATGGCTACATCAGAAAAGAGATTTAGGGTTTAGGGTTTAGGGTTTAGGGTTTAGGGTTTAGGGTTTAGGGTTTAGGGTTTAGGGTTTAGGGTTTAGGGTTTAGGGTTTAGGGTTTAGGGCAGACTCAGCATATGCATGGGCAACACTCATGGTAGGGAGAGATCAGAGAAGAGAAGCGACAGACTCAGCATATGAATGGTAGGGAGCGAGGCTGGATATATATATATATATACATATATGGGTAGTTTTCTAAATTAGGGTCCCTTTTGGGATCTATATATATATATATATATATGGGTAGTTTTCTAAATTAGGGTCCCTTTTGGGATCTCTATATATATATATATATGGGTAGTTTTCTAAATTAGGGTCCCTTTTGGGATCTCTTTTTTAAAGGGTGCCGCCTTATAATGGGTATACCCAAAAAGGGACCTCTCTCCCCATATGTGTATATATACATCAGGACCTGTAAGCCTGAGGTCATACATAGTGCACGCGACTTCAACCCAAGAGGAGGCAAAGAGAACATGCTTGAGGAATCCAGCGTTTTCCTCCTTCATTGTTTTCTGGCTCATTTATGTGTAGTTCAAGGTCATCTTTGCTAATGTGGTGAGGTCCCTAAGACCCTCGTATGCCCTCGCCCCTGCCTTTGATGCGTTCTTCGATTGCTTGCTCTTCCCCTTTGGCATAATCGACCAAGCTGCTTGCACTACAGCTGCCGTTGGGACGAGGAGGATCAGCATGAGGATCACCAGGATGTTTGAGAGGGCCCAAATCACGAAAATACCAAGTACCACTCGCAATATCAGAGGCCCGGACGTAGGAGCAAGATCCCTGTTGAACGCCTTGTACAAGCTCGCATCGAACGCTAAAGCGATACTATGCCGATTCCACTTCACAAAGCCACCTGACTTCCCCCACTCCCACTTGAGTTGTTGATGGCTGTATCGTGCCGATGGCCTTGGCAATGACGAAAGTCGAACCTCTTTGGCCGAAGATTGAAGCAAGGCCACACTACCGTCGTTGTGGCAAGCAGAACTTGCCATACTGGCCTCAGCATCGCACTGGCCTGCCGCCACAAGCATGGTCAAATAGACCAGGAACAGCATTGCCATGGCGATAAGGGGGAAACAAGGGGCGCCAAGAGATACGTAAAAGAAATGAAACAAGGATGACCTCCCAGTGTGGTTTTCGAGAGGTACTGGCTGCAAATGCATCCAAGGTGTCAAGGCACGGCATCCACTCATAAGCAACGTGTACCATCGCATCGGCATTCACATATATGCATGTCGTCGCGTAAAAGTCGAAAAATACTCTAGATCCGCATGCATATTTGGAGGATGTTGTCGTTGAGCATGTCAACGAAAGTAGGAACCACAGTTGCAAAAGGAAACTATCATAGAAAAGTTAGATGAGCAGTAGTTGCAGTAGGAGTGCATCAAGACCACCTCCACGTCTCTGGGTTTGCCAGAAGCCGGGCTGCACTGAAAAAGAAACGAAGCAGACAACAAAATTGCATCCACTGGCACACCACAGAAAGCCATGATCTTGAATTTCGCCTACTTAACCCTAAACCCTAAACCCTGTACCTGTGGGCCCCCCGCTCTCTTCCGGATGTTTCCGCCGCCACGGTCGCCGCACCCGGTCGAAGCCCGACTTCAAAGCGCTGGCGCCGCCGCCCTGGCCACAAAACTGCCAAGGGTTTAGGGTTTGGGGTTTAGGGTTTAGGGTTTGGGGTTTAGGGTTTAGGGTTCAGGGATTAGAGTTTATGGTTTAGGGGTTTAGGGTTTAGGGTGTAGAGTCTAGGGTTTAGGATTGAGGGCTTCTGCTGCTTCTTCCGTAGCAGCGGCAGCGATAGTCCCCAATCCATGAACTCCCTCCATAGGACGACTTAGCCGCCATCAAAGGGTTTAGGGCTTTTTGGGTTTAGGGTTTAGGGTTTAGGGTTTAGGGTTTAGGGTTTAGCGTTTAGGGTTTAGGGTTTAGGGTTTGGGGTTTGGGGTTCCCGAGGGTTTCTGCCGTTTTGAGCTTTCGGGGTTTAAGATGAAAGGGGTCCTTTAGGCCCCTAAACCCTAAACCCTAAACCTTTTTGGGGTTTAGGACTTAGGGTTTAGGGTTTAGGGTTTAGGGTTTAGGGTTTAGGGTGTGCTCGCATGGCGTTGGCTAGGACTGAGCTTGTGTCGACGGCTGTGGATTCATTTCATCCTGGCAGTCCTCTTCTAACAATCCTTCGATCTTGATGTTAAACCCTAAACCCTAAACCCTAAACCCTAAACCCTAAACCCTAAACCCTCAGCATGGGTAGTCCCATGTTTTGGGGGTCCATAATACAAGCGTGCCATGCAATTTTATAGGACCAAAAGGGAACCTAACTTAGAGAACTACCCACATACGCACGAAACGAAAAAGCAGCAAGCTTTGGATGGAGCTTCCGAGCCTTCGGGTTTAGGGCTTAGGGTTTAGGGTTTAGGGCTTAGGGTTCCTTCTCCTGCAGGTTCAGGTGTTGGGGTTTAGAGGCTTAAGGCTTGAAGACTGGAGGCTGATTTCTAAGGTTTAGGGTTTAGGGTTTAGGGTGTAGGGTTTAGGGTTTAGGGTTGAGAGCAAGGCTTCATGTCTCTTCAGCACAGTGGGGCTCGTTCTTTGAGGCTTGTTCTACCGTCTACCGCGGGATTCTATCTACGAGGATTCCGGGTGAGAGGATGCGGGGGGCCCTAAACCGTAAACTCTAAACCTTCTAAACCCCCTAAATGGGGTGGGGGAGGCTTAGGCTACGAAAGCCCTGAAGAGTGCCCCAAAACTACAGGGTGTCGGGTTCAGGCCGCGCCGGGCCCCTCAGCAAATCCTTCCGCATGCCTCTACGCTTGTATGAAGTAACACAAGGAAGGAGCCTCAATACTTAGAACTTAGATTGACATGTTCTGTACTTCCTAATGCGACCACCTCTAAAGGCAGAAGGCCCTCCTCCCGAAACTGAGGCTCTTACATTGCTCGAACTTCAAGAAAAAGATGGTGGGGCACCCGTCTTGCCCTTATGATGCATGGAACCCTAAACCCTAAACCCTGAACCCTGAAGCCGAAACCCTAAACCCCCCAAACCCCAAACCCCAAACCCTAAACCCTACTACGGCTGACCCCACTCAGTACGCTGCTCCTCCTTGGCAGAGCACAGCCCATGCGAGAGCCTCAGAAGATCACATTTAGGGCTTATAGGGTTTAGGGTTTAGGGTTTAGGATTTAGGGTTTAGGGTTTAGGGTTTAGGTTTTAAGGTCTAGATAGCAAGATCAGCATGTCCCAGTCCCAGCCCTATATGCTCGGGCGTAAGGACGCATCTCTGGCGTAAGGAAAGATTTTCCCGGGAAAGCTTTCGCTGTCCGTGAGAGCAATCTAGAAACAAGAACGAACAGAAACTGTGAATGATGTAGAAGGCCACGGAAAGGAACAACTGTACACTGTACACGGGCCATGGCACCTCTGAACTAAGCTTCAGAATTGGGAAGGTCCTACTCAACTCATGTCGAACAATGCTCCACTGGGCCACTATGCTCTGACAGTGACCTGGCGCCCATTCAGCTTGAACTGGAAGCTTGGAAAGCCAACAAGCGCTGAGCCAATCAACAACTGGCCTTCTGGGGGCACAATTGGCATCGAGAGCGAGTGAAAGCTTGCCCACTTGCTGCGGTGATGGTGGGCCTCTGGCTTCAGGTTAGTCGGGTACATGCCGCCAGCCAACGGCCAGTTGCTGGAGTTGGGAAGTCGCGCGCCCGCCAGGACCATGAACCAGATCTTGTTCACCTGCACGAAGCCATGCACCCTTGCCGTGGAAGGCAAGCTCCAGGTCTCGTCAAACCTGGCAGTTGACTGCTCATCTGTGCGGGGCTGCTGTGGCAACTCGTACTTTCGATGAAAGGAGTTGACAGCAAACTTGCGCTGCAAGAGGTCCGTTTTGGTCTCAAGCTGCGTGATATATCCAGGCACGAAGTTCCGAATGTCCACCTCCACGAGGCACTCCCGCTGCGTCAGCTGAGTCACATGCTGGATGAATCCCTCCAAAGTTTCGAGCCGGCAGCGCTCTGCTAAGGTCGAGCCCTTCTTGCCGGCCTTCGGAGCCAGGAGTTGGGAGAACTGCTGCTGCGGAGTGGGAGCGCTCGGATAGCCTCCTTCCTGAGGCGACTTCCTCGACTTCACCTAGGTTGGCGAGTCCAAAAACTCTCTGAAAATATTCCGGGACGGCGGACCCTCTCAAAAACCCATAAAGGCAGAATGTGTATATACAAAAAAAACATCCAGGGTCCTACCTAGTCACCACCTTCATGTCGAGGTCGCGCTCACAGGCCAGAGTCGAAGAAGGCTCGCCAAAGAGCTGCAACCACTCTGCCTCCTTGGCGGCAAGCTTCCGCTGTTCTGCCTCAGACAGGTCCACGGGCTTCTCGGCGAGATCCTCGGACACCACCGTAACTCTGCAGACTTCCATGAGGGTTCCCTGGGCGCGGCTTTTTGGCCAGACAACTTCGTGAACCTCGACCTCCTGGCCAGACTTTCGCACGATGACCTTGAATGGAACGTCGGCGTTGTCACGGTTGTTGTAGTTGTTCACCTTGATTGTGAACGTGCCCACCTGATTCAGCGAGATGTTCTCTGCTGGGTTCGTCTCCACTTTAGAGGCGTTTGCATCAAAGTCCAAGCAGCAGTTTTCGACCTTCTTATTCGCGTAGTAGAGCTCCTTGCCTTTGACCCAGGTGTGCAGGTCAAGGTCTGACTGACGAGGGTTGCCATCAAGACCCCAGACAAGCGTCACTGTGCACAACGACTTGACTTGCTTGTCCCGCAGCAGCTCGGCCACGCGCGAGACCATGTACGTTTCTGGGTTGCTTCGGTCATCCATCATGGCCACGAGGCCATCCACGTTGGTGGCGCTGTCCATGAAGTCCACCAGATTGCTGGCCTGCTGCATGTCCAAATGGACATTGCCATGAGCTCGTCCAGTGAGCATCGCGTAGATCATCACACGGAACTTCTCGTGGAAGGCAAGTTGGTCCCAGCCCTTGCCGTGAGCTTCGGCAACAAAGTTCACTGCCCATCCGACCACCGCCCGCCAGTGATCGGGGCGAACCAGACGGGGAATTGCATCCTGGATGACTTTCAAGGAGGCAGGGTCATCCACCAAGCGCTGGAATCGATTTTCAAAGGAGCCATTCAGGTACAGCTTGAGTTCTTTCAGCCTCCGAGAAAGGCTGGCGTCCGAGAGATCGTTGAACGTGAAGTGCACATGGTTGAAGGGCCCAACGCTCACGGGATACTCCTTGACAAAATCCTCGTCAATCACGACAACATTGAATTGGGATGCGCTCTGGATCCCCTTCAAGTGCTTCTGGCGCATCTCACGCAGCTTCTGAACATTCGGCTCCTTGACATCTTGCTGGAACGCGATGAATTTGCCACCCTCGCCTATAGCTTGCGCGAACTTTGGCATGCGGTGCATGCAGGTGTTGCACCGTCCAGCGAGGTTAGATGCACACAGCCTGCTTTCCTCCTTCGGCAACGCTTCCCGAGGCTGGAGAAAGAAGAGCAACTCCTTGTCCTGCACCTGGACGGTGCATGCCTTCATCGGGTTGCTCTCAATCTTGTCGTAGGCCGCCCTGGAAGGGTCAACGCTGTCAAGGCACTCGCCGACCACCTCCCAGCACTCATCTCCAGAGCCAGCCATGGCGATCCAATGCTGATGTTCTCGTGATATGGGCAGCTTTGAGCACTTCTGAGTTGGAGTTCCCTCTTGTACTAACAGTCTCAAGAATGATGAAAGCACACCCCTATTCTAATCCCTAGTAAGGACTGTTAGTCTGAGGGGGAACATGCCAAGTTGGAGACGTTTGGCTTCCCTATCTTGCAAAGTTGCTCTTGTCCTCAGGCTCCCATGCATTCCATGCATCCCCCGCTGGCTGAACCCTAAACCCTAAACCCCTAAACCCCTAAACCCCTAAACCCTAAGCCCCTAAACCCTAAAACCCCCTGAACCCTGAATCTCCGACCAGGCGCCGCACCAGCTTCCGCTTCAGCGTCAGGCGCCCCGCTGCTCAACATCTCTCGCACCTGCACTCCCAACTGGCCCTAAGGGTC